ACCTACTTCTGTTGTGATGATTTTGTTAGGTTATGTGAAATTTCATCCTTTCGACTTGAAGAAAAGGCGACTCAATTAATGAACGAATAAGAGAGGAAAAGTGTAAACACATTTTTCTCGAATGTATGAGCATTTTTAACTCAAAACTGGACATGCTACCATGTACTATGTACACCGGTCAGCAATTTAACAAAAAAAAACACTACACGTTAATGTTGTTTAATTACAAAAAGTGTAACTTAACAGATACTGTGTGTTCACTGCAAATACATTAACATTAATTTTAATTATTTTTGTTAAAACAAATTTATCAACTAATAACTGTAATTAATCATAATCATATTGTATAAATAGTAGGTTATATTTAAAAAACAGAGATGATAGGAATCTCTGAGTCAGTGCAGATAGTTCTTTATTAAGTTGTGGTTTATGGAATACTTATTTTATTTCTTATTAGATTTTTCTCGCGGCTCCGCCCGCGGTTATAACGGTTATCGCGGTGTATACTGGTATTACCTACATATATACAATGATAATGTAGTTTTCCATTGGTGAAAGAATTTCAAAATCGGTTTAGTGGTTAAGTCGTGAAAGCGTAACAAAGAATCAAACAAATTCACTTTCACATTAAAATATAGGTATGAAATCACTGGATAAAGTCACATTTGCTAATAATTTTATACTAGGATTTGTTAAATTTAAGTAACTTATTAAAATCAGCATCAGATCCGATGACACAATAAAAACCTGAATCAGCAACAACCCTAAACGGTTTCCTGTTTTCTTCCACGTTGAACAAATGGATGATTTAAATGTATTAAATTTGGCTAATCTGTAGCCATTTTTCAATTAAAACTATCTTTATAACGAAAAGGAAAACTTGTTAAAATATTTGATAGCAGGTAAAATTGGTCGAGTTATATCATGCTCATAAATTTATAACGTGTTTTTGAAAATATATGTCTACTCCCACTTCAACTTTGTAACCCTTTTAATGACGTCGCTTACTTTGCTGCTATGTTCTCTTACCCACTCATCCTTCTTACGGTCTCTGCATGAGCAGCTTTCTCCAAACTCGAATTTACGTTCAACTTGAAGATCAACAGTGTATAACAGTGTATCTTACCGGTGCTCACATATGAGGCTTAGACTTGGGTTTTACCAAGGACAAACTCCACACAACTTCACAAACTTCAGGTGGCCAAAACTTCAGAGATCGCCTTAGTAATACTATAAAAAAAATTAGGCGAGTCACAATGTCATTTTTTTAACGTTTGTTCAATAAGTATCGATCTTTACAGATAGGCCCATTGATTAAATCTGTAATAGCACCTTTCCGTCATAACAAGTTACTCTGACGTCACAATGGTTAATCACATTTCCTTATCGTACGTCATTTCATTATCATTTTATTGTCGTTTTTATTCCTACACACATATGTATGTATCATGCATGTATCATATACGCAAAACGCCGCTGTTCAGCCAGAAATTTTACACCGAAGGAATAATGAAGCCTAAATATTGACAAAAGTTCAATATGTAGGTATGTACTTAGTACATGTTTATTACCTATTCATAGAGGCTGGTGACTTATATCAATCGCTTCTCTTATTTGGCTCACTTGTACGGGAGTTATTCCAAATTGACTGGACAGCAGATCTTTATCTTTTATCTTTATCTTTTTTTTTAGTGTGTGAGATGTGTGAAGTTGAAGTTGGTATTACAAATAAAATTAAAGCTAATGAGCAAATCCAATATTTAAGAAAAACAAAAATTGCCGAGTATAATTGCCAGGTATAATTTAGCCAGCATAACTTGCTCGCAGACCGACATAATCATCCGACCGATAGGTGGTATCCGAAGGGGATTTCCGCACAAGACAAAAACTAAGGTATAATTTAGCCAGGGGCTTTGCTCGCATCATTTTAGATTTTGTCAATCAATTCAAGTATGTCATTACAGGTAGAGTATTTATTTTTATATATTATTGTGTGCTTTGCACGATATTTTATTTTTTACCACAATTACCACAAACAGTAACTCGTCGTGTTTGGAAACGATAGATTGCTGAGAAATAGATGTTAGGCTTAAACCTTATTGCCAATGTACTTATTAAATACTTAAGTTATCTTACGATTTTGTGTGGAATTTCAAAAGTATCATTTAAATAATTTAATATTATCCCTGGAAACTGCTCGACAGATAACATAGAAATTATAGATGTAATAACATGAGTTTTACCATAGTGTTGTTATTTTAATATTCAACTAGCTATACCTTGTCACGCTTCGCTGTGATTGCAAAAAATAGATAGCATACCATCTCTGGAGCTTGTTGTATACCATATCAAAATTTGAGCATAATCGGTGCAAAAGTGCGTTGTTGAAGCGTACACTAATCAACTCAACCTTTTTATTTATTTTACCTTTATATATATTTTATATGGTAAGTACTCAATGTTTCATTTTAATGAATCCTGAAATTGAATTATCTTTTTATGTAGTTTACCTGTACTTGCTTTTTAGTTAAACGACTTAGGTACTTACTATATCGATATCAGAGGCGTCGGTCCATGTCATGCAGCGTATGACGGCCAGCGTTAGTGAGAGATGTTTTCCGATAATTGCAGTGCGGATTCACAGAGGTCTGTTCTTGGACCCATCCTAGAAACATAGAGTAAGGCTCGGCCCTTCTAGGAGACGATAGTGTAGATACAGCCATGGGAGATCTTGTACTCTTGTACAACCCCCCCATAGCCTGTCGCGACTAGGAGTGAGGCAACGGATGGTGGACCACGACAGGGCACAAAGAATAGCCTCCGCCTTACCCAGAGCCACCCGTAAAAAAAGTGCCTCGATGCGCCCCATCACCAGAGATGCTCCTCTGGTGACCAGGTGCACCCCCTCTTCAAAGTTCGCCCCGCCTGGGCTGTAAACTATCGTCTCCTAAAAGGGCCGAGCCGTAATTTGTTTCAAGTTGTGGGTCCAAGAACAGACCTCTGTAAATCCGCACTGCAGTTATCGGAAAAGATCTCTCACTAACGGCCAGAGTTAGTGAGAGATCTTTTCATGGTATATGGTCATACGCTTCATGACCCTACCGGTCATGAAGCGTATGCGACACATGTTTTACCGAGGTCGCAACCTTTTGCGAGAACATCATATTACAGAAAGCGGAGGGGGCCTGGGCCAAAATTTTCTCCTCCAAGCGCAATAATAGCCAGCCGCGAAGAGACGACGAAATGTCCGCGTGTACCTGGGTGTCGCCTAAATAGAGAGTCTTACCCGGAGGTGGGGCGCGCGATATTTCGGGCTGGGAGGGGTCCGAGTCTGGTGCCGAAAGCGATAAAAGCCCAAAAAAATACTGGCTTAAGCTGTAACCTCTAACAAAAAAACGACCTCGGACGTTGGCGACAACCTCTCCATATAAATTCTAAATTCATTTGTCATCTTTCCTGCTCATGAAGAAGAAATCATTAACCTGATTTAAAACTACAAAAATGGTTGATGTGTGTTATTAACCTAACCTACATGTGTGGGATAAGACTGTGCAAAAAAACTTTTACTCTATCTTCATATTGTCGGAACTTTCCAACGTATGCAGATGACTGCAGGGATGGCGTAGTGGTTTAAGCGGTCACCTCGCCGCTTCCCATTGCGCTGAGTGTTGTGGGTTCGAACCCCGCACGGAAGTTGTTCCGTGCGAACTTTATGTCATCCTCTAATTGTTGTTCTGAGTCTAGGTATTCTTTGTATGTATGTTTTTATAATCTTTCATGTATGTTTGTAAAATCCCCCGCGACACAGGAATATATTCCTAATGCGGGAGTTGTCTTTTAAAATAAACAATGAAAAATTTACTTCCCTCTCTTACAGAATACGGGTTCGTTTCATCTAACTGACGACGCGGTTGATACGCTAGTAAACTGTATCGGATTTCGCGAAATCATTTGATTCAGTATCTATCCCGCACCTTTTTAAAAGAAGGAAAGTTGAGAACTCCCCACATGCTAACGGGACTTACAATGATTGTGCAAGTGATGAACGGAGATTGATAAACTACACTGTATGAATACTACTAGGACCCTGCCTACACCTGTATATCAGGCTCTGATGATCGGATTTTGAACTCCTAATGATACACCAGTGTTTAACAACTAATTTAAACGCATACGAGTGTCTGGTAAACGTAAAAGAACATTTCTGATTATAGGCGTCGGAGTATAGAAAATTGATTTGAAGCCGAAGGAAATTTTTCGAAGAAATTAGTGTTTAATTATCTAAACTCAAAACTTTCCTAGGTGAATTAGGTTGTTTTCAACACGCTTTTAGTAGCTTCAATTGTAACTATCTAAGTACGAGTAACAATGGGGAGTAACAATACGAACAACAAAACAACAAATGGGATCAAATCTTGGTACTCAATTTTTGAAACAGTGACACTATTCACTTATATTATCTCTAAATATTTATTTAAAAGTATTTATAAGCTGATCGCCGAAACTTCCTATTAGATTCCTTGTACCTACCTGTATCTTTGTTTCTAAACAGATTTACGCAATACTAAGGTACCTACACCGGACCCTCACACATTAATTAACACTATTTAGAATATATGTTCTTATTAAGTGACCAAATTTTGACGTCATCCAAAAGTTCACAGCAAAGTTGCTAATAATAATGTAAACAGTTTCCTAAGTCTTTGATCAAAAAATTTATGGCTGAGTAAAAGTAGCAGCTCCTGCCTCGATTAAAGGTGTTTACACTGTAATGTTTATAAAGTAACATACTAACATAAACAAAATAAACACTGAAGTACGAGTAATATTCACTCTTTCGTGTAAGTCCCTTCTGCACGTAAATATTAATTATTTCTTGTTAGTTCTCTGTCTCGGACAAGCCTCGGATAGATGATCAGGAAGCAAGGAATTTCGTAATGAGCGAACTGAAGAATTGGTAAAATCGGCAATCAATAACACACTAATATATGAGTGTAACGATGACACGAGAAGTCAAGTTGAAGGCGCGTGAAGTGCGATGTGATAAAAGCGCGCGGGGGCAGCGCGCGCAGCCAGTACCGAGCTCACCTGTTAACCGAGCGCAGGCGCCGTTTCGCGCCGACGCGACATCCGTCCGCGATACCTTGGAACGCATACATACGACCCCGCGCCCCGCTCTCGTACGTTAAACTACATAGGACATCAGCTGTCCACCTCCATCGGGTAGTGAATGTGTCTATTTGAGTAGCTCTGCCTGGAGCGCTTACTTCCGAAAAAGGACCTCCCCGGTCTGCCAGATCGATTGCTCAGGTGAGGTTAATCACAATTATCTAAAAACGAGTTGCGTCGGTGGCTGCATCATGTGATGAACAGACAAGATGGTTGAGCAGTAATCACTGAGAGTTATCAGTGCATAGTTGAAAGTTTTATGAAAAGAATTGTAGAAAAATCATGACTGTTGTAACATTAAGTGTGTAGTAGGATAAGTTGTGAGTAGTAACAAAGTTTAATTAACGATACAAACACAATCTACTGCCGCTGTACCAATGTGCCTGCATGCAAAATTAATTGTCTGAAACTTAAAAGTATCTAATTAACATGCAAGAATAATCAATTTAATTGTAAAATGACAAACGGTAGCTAAGTCATTACTTATGGTTTTCTAATGGCATCCATTGAAGCCAAACGTAGAAAGATCCGGCACCCACATAAGATGAAACACATAAAACTGTCTAATAGTTCCTTAGAGCGAACTGTTCGTAGCGAGCGACGCTAATTAGTTTCAAGGACCTGTCTTCAATCAGGGGTCAAAATTAAAGAGATCAAACGAAGGCAGTTAAGTTTAAAAAACTCTTATAAGTATGAAATCAACTGTTGACAGTGGATGGTTCAATATGTGTTGATAACAAGAAGGTTTCCAATCAAGGAAAAAAGTTTATCAACAGTGGATAACATCCGCATAACCAGGCACTGCTTGATTATCAAAACGACACGTTTCACGAATGGTGTTGATTTGCTACAAGCAATAATTATCACTTAACTGGATACTAGAAAACATGCAACAGACGCAACAGTCTACTCAGAAAGGAGCTCGGTTTTGAAGCCAAGGATCCACCAAGGCGTTCTGGTGGCGTTAGTATTCTCAACGCGTGTAGCGGCGCGGTGCGGTAGGCGCGTGACGTAAGGTCACCGCGCCTGGCCACTGACATGACACGAGATAACATGCCTCCCGCCCTAGTGGGCTAATACACTACGCGCAACTACGTAACGTGGACATAGTTGACGCTGGCCAGTGGGCACGTCGAGGGACTCGCCTATACTCACGTGCTGCGCTAGTTATCGCTAACGCCTGCAACATTCGTTATCGATATCTTTCTTATCTTGATATTAGCTAACGTATATAGATTAATCACGTTCAGAACATTTTTAATAAGTAAAAAATATTTTATGGACCACTCTTCACTCTTCGGCAATTTTATTTTGCTATTTAGAATGTCATTTAAAATGTTGTTTATTAAGAATGTAAATAAATCGTATAAAACAAATGTTCATGCAACTTCAGCCTTCTGAAGGCCAGTGCGCTCGAAATTTCCACATAACGCTAAAATCTGATGATCATAACAATAGTAAAAGGCAATTTGTGTAGCATTACTAGGCGTCCACTTATGAAGGCTGTAATCTAAATAAGGAAAGCTACCATCGGAAAACTGTGAAGGTCAATAAATCAGCTAAGCACGAAACAGGATAACCTACATAATAGTTATTTTAAATTGATTTTAATCACCGAAGTGAACTGTAATTCTGGCGTGATCACGCATTAATCCAAACTAATATTATAAATGCGAAAGAGTGTCTGTATGTCTGTCTATTATCTCTTCACGCTTAAACCGATGAACTGATATACATGAAATTTGGTATAGAGATAATTTAATTCTCAGTAAAGGACATAGGATAGTTTTATCCCAGGAATCATCCTTTAAGAGGTTGAAAGGGGGTTTGGTAGTTTGTAAGGGGAATCAATAACCGCTGAACCAATTTGGATGAAATTTGGTATGGAGATAGATTGATTCTTGAGAGACTTTTTATCGCAATAACCTACATACACGTGGGTGGAGCCGTGGGCAATAGCTAGTTTTAGATAAATCTAAACCATAATGAAACGTTCATTGATATTAGTTACCTTTTCTTTAGTTTTGGGAGAAACATTATTTTTCCGAAAGGGTGAAAAAGCCCTTCGTCCTTCGAATTTCAGGTCCCGCCCGGATCGACGCCGAACCTACTAGGCCCTATCCCAAATTAAGCCAAAAGCTGCCCCCCGCCTGTCACCTAATCTAGGAGCCCGATAGCATTTTTGTGCAATCATGCCGCAGCCATGTCCCTTAAAGCAGTAATCAATCTGCTACCATAGATCCCCACTCTCTGGCAGCCACCGGCCCGTCAACGGCTGATATCGTCGTGACGTGACGTCCTCTACGCTCGGGATCGGTCCTCTCCCGATCCCGTTCAGCGGTCTCTTTCTGGAGCATTACAGCCTCACAGAAAGAGACCACTGTGCCCCAGCCATCCTCCCAATGATTGCTGGCGGGTGATATTAGTTACCTGCTATAGACACACTATTCAAAATTCCAGAATTGGTTAAATAAAACCATATTGATGAAATTATCACCACATAATTTTATCGTTTTCTTTTTTATTTATTTTTAGTTTAATTAAGTAAAAAAAATTTGTAACTAGTGATTTTTTTCTTCGATATAGTAAATAACTTACCAATACACGACATAAATTGCTATTGTTCAGTGAACTGTTGTTCACTAAAAAACAGGCAAAGTACATGTAAGTTGAATATAGAAAAAAAAGTAGAGGCAATAAATGGCTGTAGACTGTGTTAAGCCGTAGATAGATAAAAGAGAATAATAAATGAAAAAAAAAAGTAATTATTTTACGGTATTTTACCGAAGCGTATTTTCCGAGTACATATTTAGTTCAATCAGTGACTGTTCTGTCTATGTCTGTCTTAGTTACACGATGTAACTTTTACTGTTTACATCGTGTAACCATTCTACTACGAAGCTTTCAGCAGTCTTAAATTAAATTTCTTACACACAGTATATATAATTTCTTTAACACAGAATTGGTTTAACACAGAAGTTATATCACAGTAGATACTTCGTCTGACCCTATGACTGCAGAATTTTCTCGCGGACACTAAATAATCGTCAACTGCTCTACTTGTACATAGCCCAATTGTCATAGTTTCCAAGGCCTATAATCTTAAGAAATACTCATACTCAAAATGTGAACATTCCAAGTAATTGTAGTTTATTATTTTTATATCTCTGTTCTTATATGTGGTTTTCCTTGTGTAAATTATGTAGAAAAATGTCATTAAGGATCTTATTATTTAAATTTTAAATGGTATATAAACTACTAGAAGCGAATACTGACTTGACTGGCGTGTCTATTATTGTACAGAAAGGTCATCGTATACACTAAAATATATACACTCAATTAGACAACAATTCGTGGGATAACTTGTGAAAACGAGTTATTACAATAGCTTGTGTAGACAATAAATAATCACAAAAACGATTCTGCTTCTACTTGAAACAAATAGGTCTTACATGTACTTAAATAAAAAAAAAACTTTGTTGCAAAGTCTTCAAACAATTTAAATAATGCATCCTATTAGGAGCATTAGCAATTAATGATATCAAACAAAAAACATACAGCTATTTAAAAAACGAGTTTTATTTTAGTTCGTAAATAAATAAAATAATTGATAAGCTAGGTAATTTTTAATGAGTTGTTCTAATGTTGATAAAACTATTCAAGATCGCGGCTGGTATTTATCTTAAGTCATCTTAATTACTAATTATTTTCCCAAAACTGATTTACTGATAAGTGCACAAAAATGAACACGTTAAGTTTATTTTGCAACCAAAATACCTAAATAAAATTGGAAGATTGGAACACATATACTATATACCAGACATCAGTTGATAAAAAATTTGGTACATGCTCTCAAAAATAATTAAATTTAAACCAAGTTAGGCTTATATAGCCTAAATTGGTTGTGAACTTTTGACCTTCTTTTTTTTCTTAAGTTTAAGAGACTGCTATTCAAAAATAACAGATTATGTCCTGGAACAGTAACTATGCAATCTACTCATGAAATACCATTGTTTCATCTGCTAGTGGTAAAACAACTGCTAAAACAGCACTAGGTACGTTTGTTAAACTTGTAGTTCTTTAAACTGCCAAAGTGTTAAAAACTCGAACTCGAAAGAGGTAGTAATCCAATGAATCGAATAATGATCTAACAATAGTGTATAATAATAAATAGTGTTTAATAATGAACACATAACGTACACCCTGCTCCTCGGGGACTCAGGAGCCAGGAGTATGTGGTGTTTCCACTAAAAACCACACCGATGGCCGGATATATCTCGGTTCATACGCTTGAGGGCTCATCGTCGGGGAGAACTGCTACTACGACGGTCCGGACCTGCGTCTGGGCGGCGGATGGCCACATCGAAAACGATGTGGCAATGGTCGGACAAAGTGACCACCACCTCCGCCAAGGTATTGGAAATGTCTACTCCTATTCAAATCAACTTTATAAGTAGTGCTTTTCTTGCATAACGGAAGCAAGCTTTCTGCAATGAGACTGTTGAATCGGGAATTTAACGAACTGACACAGTTGAGTGTGTCAAGATTAAGGTATAACTAATATTGACAAGCCACACTTGCTTGCCTGCTAATAAAATAAAGTTCTAAAATTCCTATTCTCCGGAAAATAAAGTTAAAACACATGGTTGTTTAGCCGTAATAACATGTGTAGCTTGTTTGTGGTGATCTGAACTACCCAGGCAAATGTTAAAGTAACCATTTCAGCTGTTAAATTTTAAAGCAGTTTTTTTAATTTCGTCTTACACTTTTTTATTTTACTTAGAAATAAATGCACAATGTGTAATGTAATTTTTTGTAACGATTTGTTACAAAAAATACTTATACATTTTTAAAAAGAGATTTTCAAAACCAGCATTTTCAGATTTTATTATCTATGGATTGGCGCCTAATTCCATATCCAAATAAATTTTGTTTGAAAGCCATGTTATTTTAATTTAAAATTCCAATGTATTAATAGTGACCAATACGAGTAATTATCTACTTAAAAGTAGTCAAGTTCTTATTCTTTCTTCTTTTTTTTTAAACATACATGAAGCGGACACAAAGAACACTCTCACTCAGCCTCAGACCAACAATTTGGGGCTCACACTAAGTTTTGTCCCATGTGGGGATCGAACCCA